CAGCTACATAGCAACCTTCTTTCTTTTTTTCTCTTTTTTTTTTTCTTTTTTTTTCTTTTTTTTTTCTCTCCTCCCCCCCCCAATCACAGAATCAGGCAACTCCAATGAAGACTCCTCACTCCACACATGTTGATGCTGCACTGAACTCCATCCTAACTCATTTATAGTCACCTGTTCTGCAGTATTCCTGCTTTTTCTTGTTATCATGGGCCATAATTACTCTACGGTAAACACATGGTTCTGTTTTCTGCGAGAGGCTCCAAGTAGGGATTGTGGTCCTCTCTTTCTGAAGGTTAAAATTTTCAATTCTGTTGAACAGATACTGTGTCAGGTATGGTTTACTACCCTCCAGCTCAGGAGGACAAATGCACTGACAGGTGGCAAAAGGAATATTTTATGAGTGAGAAAAAGAAATAAAAAAATAAACCCACACAATGTTATCTTCTGTGGTTAATGAAACAGCACTTTTTATTATGGCTGTATGCAATGGGAATATTAACTCTGATAGGCAGAAGTGCAAATTAAACTGCTGATTTAGATTATAATATTTCATGCATAGTAATGCATGAAATATTACAGACTTTTTTTTCTATTGTATGTAAAACCTTTGTGAGTTATTAGTCTTTTTTTGTCAACTGTACTTTATAAGTGAGAGGTTTATTCCTGGTTATATTAAAAGAGGCATTTTGCTGCTAGGAAAGTTTAGCATTTTATTCAGCTGAGGTAACTCTCCCTTATGCTCTAGCATGAAGCACAATTAAGGCAGAAATGTTCAGTAGCTTTATTATGCCCTTGTGTGAGGAGCTAATCTTTTTTTCTCCCCACTTCATTTTTCAGGGATTCCCAAAGGATTTTGCAAACTCTACGCATTTGTCTAGCACACTCTGTAGTAGCATAAACAGAGAATACATGGACCTCAACAGGGGCTTTGGCTTTTATACTTTTAGTAATTCCACTTTCTCTTATCGTAAGTTTCAAGAGCACCGGAATTTCTCAGTTAATATTCTAGGCTTGTGGGTAAATTTTCCCCACATTGATTTGGACATTTTGTTACTTTGGTGAGTAAGCAGGGGAACAGAGGATTGGTTTTTTTAAAGAAATGTATTTATTATTTCAAGGAAAATTTTCTTTACACAGACAACATACAGGCTGGCCTTCTGAATACACAGTGGAAGACAATCTCTGAAGGAAACTAAGAATATTAAATAAAGCCTTTTTTCCCCCCATAGGAAACAAGCAAACATTCCTAAAGAAGTAATTTCATTAGTAACTTTCCAAACACAGGTGTTTTGCTTTAGCCTGGCTTCCTCTGGAAACACATCATGTGTATTTGTTGCTTTGGGTTCTGCTGTCTGGTTGTTACCTCTAATAACTTGTGTATCTATTTGTTCATTTTGACTGGATTTGATAGAGTAATTGGAGACCCGGAGGTACAAGTAAATGAGGTGAGCACATCGGGCCCATTACCCTGCCTTGGATGGACAATGGCTATGGACCCAGGGAACAACTCCAGTTACTTTTCCAGGATTATCCTCCAGCATCTGGGGCTGGAGGCTCACAGGTGTCCCAAGCCACAGCTGATGCCTTTGTGTCTGGTAATCTTTCCTACAGAAACAAGGAAAATCTCATCCTACTCTGCATGTGTGATGAATATTTGAAGTTGAAAATCAGACCCTCTAAATAATCTGAGTGAAAGCTGCACCACGAGCACTTATCCTGTATTAGACTTTAATAAAGTTACTCTCCCCATAGGTTATCCAGTACATTTTGCCTTCTGTCTCTCTATTCCTTAGGCCTTGATTACATTGTGATAGATTATCCTGAGTAAGGAGAAGCATGAAGCAGACAGTCTAATATTTTCTCATTTTCTATCTTACCTCTTGGGCATTGCCAAGTAAACTGCAATGGAGACTGGCACATAAACATCCCTTCCTCCCCACAGTCTTGTGGGAAGAAGCCAAAGAACTGAAACATCCACAACAGCAGGCTTCACCTGGCTCTCTAATTTATTGTGACAGCCACACAAAACACCTTCTCGGTGATGCATGTCAGAGGAAAGCACCTGGTCTGAACTTCTGTGTGTTGGCAGGCTGAAGTGTTTCACAGCATCTGCCCTGCCCTGGGCTCTGCAGCTTTCAGATCAATCCAAGGGTTGGAGATGTTAATCTCGTGGCTCTCAGAACCCAGGGGAATTTTGACTGGGCACACAGTGACTTGCTGAACTAATAGCACTTCTAGTCGCAGTATCCTCCTAAGGCTGCCTAAAATTTTCCTTCGGAAACACCAGAATCATGAAGTTTAATAGTAGTTTAAAGTGTCGCTGTCAACACTGTCTGCACTTGCCACAGGAACTCTTGGTCCCTGTTATTTTTTGCCACGATCTTCTTGTAATGATTGAATGTTATAATTTCTGGGATCCCTACAGGCAGTCATTAAAATTCTGGCAAGTTGGTATTGATGATTGGTTTCTGCTGCACTAGCAGAGTATTTCTCAGCAGATAAGTACACATATTTTGCCTTGAACAATGGAAGAAATGAAATATGCACTGAATTCCTTTCCCATGGGCTGTTTATATTTCAATACACAAGGATAACTTTTAAAAGAAAATATAATATTCCTGATTACATACAGCATTAAAGAAAACAGTTGAGCTCTTCCAACTCGAAAAGAACAAAGCAATGTAGAATATGGCAGACTATTTTTATGTTGATTTTGACTTCTGAGTCATCAAGTTAGGAGAAGGCTCTGTGGCAAAAGCGCTCATCCTATACGGAGGGGTAAAAATCAACTGAAAATAAACACAAACTGGATAGGAAAGACAGCATCTCTACATGGCCCTTTCTCTCTCCACACTAATCATTAAGTAACCATGAAAATCCATGACAAAACGCAACAGCTTCCAAAAAGGCATCTGGTGAAAGAATCCCAAACACATGTTATGGTGGGATGTAGAAGTCCCTTCTGGTCTGAGAGGGGGCTGTGTTTGAGGAGAGCATGTTCTGGCTTGTGCTTTCAGTGGCAGTGTTGCAGACACTAACTGGAAGGCCGTGGCTTAGAATGCGTGACCCTGTGGCATTACCTCATCAGGCACAGGCAACGCAACACTTAGAGTATCGTGGAGGGTGAGAAAAATCACCTCAAAAGAGGGTAGTGATACTGGAGATGACTGAAATCCTTGTTGATGTCTCATGCCAGGCGCTGGCCTGGGAACAACCATGGGAAGAGCACCTTTCTCTGATGGAAGAAATTGCTTCATTACACTGTGAGAAAGAAGAGCTAGGAGCACAGAAAGCCAAACTGTCCAGTTCGGCCACTCAGCCAGCATGCCTCAGTCTGTTCCTGCTGTGTCTCTTACAGCACCAGTGGAGAGCACCACACTCTTCCAGAAGTGTCTCCTAGCTATCTTCATTGACTATACAGAAGACCTGGGGCCCCTGTTTAAGTGCTTAAATAAGCCTCTCCTTCAGTGCAATTGAAAAAAAAGTCATACTCTCACTTTTTGCTGTACTGCAAAACTTTGTCAACCAAAATTTTCCAGGTTTCCAACCTTGGATCTGAAGACACACCAGCAAAATTCATCTTTTTCTCTCTGAAATTATCTTGCTTTATAGCTGCAGAATCAACTCTAGTTGGGATTGTACCTCATTCTGCTTTTGCTGCAACCCTACATCCTGCATCTAACACTTCCTAGGAGTCGCTGCTACCTCTTCCCGTGGAGCTCACAGTTCATGGAAGTGCCAAGCTGTAGGTTTGAGAGGTGGGACCTCTTTTTCTGGGAGGCTGAACCTCCGTTGCTTTCAGTGCTGATATTTCTCACCATTTTATCAAAAAGATATAACAATGGTCTTTCCACAGTGCTATGACCTGCAGTGGGTTTCCTTGAGCCACATAGCTCTCTCTAAGGCCTCACAATGTGTGTGAAATACATGACCTAAACAGACAAACCAGAAAAACAAAGGTTTTGCTTGCACTACATTTTATAAGTTGAAACCTTAATTTGGGCTGAGCAGGCATGGGGCAGGTAGTGCTCCAGGCATGCTGGAAGCTTCTTTGCCCCCTAGTCTTACCTGTGCTCAGAATAGGAGCATCCAGGGGATGAAGCAATGGATTGCCTGAGGCTGTGGCAATCAGGCAGTCACATCACCATGTGGTCAGTACTTTTTCCAGCACATGAGACCATGCAGCAGGAATAAGCATGGAGAGTATAAGAACCAGCATGTGCTTGTGTTTGTGCACATGCTGACCCAGCAGCAAGCAAAGTTAGCCTTCAAACCATCATTTTCCTTCCCTTGGCTGACCCCAGTGTGGATGCCCTTTTCCTAATGCAAAACCTTCAGCGTTGGGAGTTATACTGGTGATAAACTGTGCAAACCTGACAGCTGAAGGCAGAATTGTTCCTCCTGAGCCAGAGCAGGCACTTTGCCAGCTCCTTTCCAATGACTAATGCAGCAGGTAACCTTTTCTTTCTTGTGGAGCCTTTCCGAAAGGATTAAAAATACACATCAATTTTTATTAATGTTGTCACTCCTCTGACAGAGGTGCTCTCCCTCAAATCCACTTTTTCTCATACAGAAGTGAGGGCTTTCCAGAAAATTAAAAATACCTATAATTAGACTGGAGATACCAAATTGCCACCTGCTCATGGGAAGGTGATCTAGCAAGTAACCACCCAAGGAATGGACCTCTGCTAGTTGGACACAAGACATATAAACCAGCCAACAGTAAGGTAATATATGTTTACCAAGAGCTCTGTATCAATAGGGAAGTGTGTGAATTGCAGGAAGAACGAACTAAGTACTTACTGCTCAATACTGATATGTGAATAAAAGTAATTCCCCCCCCCCCCCCAAATAAAAGACTTAGTGAAAGAAATGTCTTTTTTTTTTTTTTATTTCCTCCAGTACAGTCACAGCTGTGTGGGGCCCTTTGCTTCCCCCTGCTGTCACCCTAAAAAGGCACAGGGTGGGCTGTGGCTCCAACCAGCTGTGGGAGTGGGAAAACTAATAAGGATGGGCTCTGCCAGCAAGCACTCCTGCATCCCACAGCTCCCACGGTGCTGCTGTGGAGAGCTGTGAGAGCGACAGTCAGGAGGAATAAAAGCCATTAAGTCCCCCTGTGCCTTCACAGGCAGGGTCTCAGGGGGCTGAGCACAGCTCTAAAGTCCCACCGGATTGGACTCTCCCAGCAGGCTTTCACTGAAGGATTTTGCTGTTCTTCTGACTGGTCTCCTCATGCACAGGTGAACGGCTTTGGCACCCACGGCACTCTCAGGTAAGAGGGGTTTGCTGGGAAGTGGACGATGTGCATAAAAGCCAGCTTAGGGCTTTGAGGTTCGTTAGGAAACTGGTTCTGGAAGACGACTTTGCAGTGAATATTTTAGACAAACAAAAAGAAACCTTTACCTCTAGCAGTACTTAGAGAAGACACCTTGTTCTGGAGGGGTTTACTGGCCCACGTGCACCTTCTGTGTCCTAGCAGGGACCCTGTGGCAGCCGGGAGCCATCGAGTGGGAAGCAGGGTCTTAGGAAGTCCCAGAAACTCTGGCTGATGTGTCCATCAGCACAGAGTGAGGCGCCTGCAGATGGGAGAGGGCAGGGCTCAGTTTGAGAAGTATGAACACCATAGGACAAGTGTGAAGGTGGCTCTTGTTTGGGCTGACGTATAGTGGGACCAGCATGAAGTTGCTTTTTGTCTTTGCTGTGTGTCAGGGATGCACCAGTTCAGTCAGTGCTCATCTTCTTTTGACTTGTATTACCTAAACACTCAGGATGAGAATAATAATCAGAAAAATAGTTTAAAGCTGAAACTGGACAAAATAACAAAGGAAACAGGATGGAGGATCTGTGCTACAGAGATTTATCACCACTGCTTGTCAGGGACAAGGAAGTGAGTTACAAGAGGCGCTGATGTGGGACACAGTCCGTGTGCCAGGTGGGCAAATCTGGCCACTGACTACCAGAGGGGAGAGCACTCAGTGAGGAGGTACTGGAAAGCATGCAGGAGGCACTGGGATGTTGTGGCTCTGCTGTGGCTCAGTTGCAACCTGTCACCCAGGAAAGCAGCTGTATGGAGAGGTTCTAGCATCCTGCAAGGGGCTCAGAAGCTTGTCCCCATCACTGGCTGACACTTCTAACACAAGGGCAGGTGCCTTTAGCCTAGGGAAATGAATCCAGGGAAGTCCAGGGAAGGATGATGGGAGGAGATCCAGAAGTTGGCTTTGGTCTTTAAATTTTTCCTAGTTGTAGCTGAGGTTTCTGTTTTGTGACCTTCCCAACTCATTAGTAAACTGGGAGTACTCACAGTGGGGCAAGACACCCCCCTACCTTCGCATGCCATCAGTCTTCATATTGTAGCACTTGCAGTTTCCTGTGAGTTTCAGTAATGGCTTCCCTATTTCAGACGGTGAACAAAACTGTTCTGCATCTGCCTGGATGTTGAATTGCACTTTAGCATCCTCATGAATTGGCACACAGGAAAATATTTGTCTGTAACACCCACAGCGGCTTCTGCAGAATCACTAAAGGTCTGGTGTAGAGGGGCAACACCTATTTATCCAGCACATATTATGAATTCTCCGAGGTATTTCTCAGTCCTGTAGGAGACAAAGCCAATGTCTGAGGAAGGACTGAAATAATGACCTGGTAGTTGTGTGTGTTGTGTCCTTGTGTGAACACGTTTTGTGTGCAGCCATTATGAATTTGCTTTCTTTATCTCACCTGTTAAAGCTGCACACACAGAGCTCTGATTCGCAGTCACTTCTGGGCTCCATCGCTAGATGGTGATATGCTTCCAGATACTGAATCCTCCTTCAGTCTGTCTTTTTTCTTCTGGTGTAAAATTGCAATAAGTAAAGACCAAACGTGTTTTAGCCTTTGCCTGTGGAAATACAGCATTCCCAGCCACACACAGTTCTGGTCAAGCTAATTTCATATTCAACTGATTTTTAATACAGCAATGGTTTGGTTAACATGATTTCTGAAGAATTATTGCAATAAAAGTAATTCTAATCATGAACACTTATAAAAAGACTAATATTCCTGATCTCTACATAATTTAGAACTTCTTTGTTGGCAGCCACTGGCATACTCAAAATAAATGCCCATTTTATTATGCACTTTCTAGGAACAAAATCTGCCCCAAAGATTTTGAAGCTTAAAACTACCAGTTTCCCTTCCTCCTTCCTGCTTTCCCTGAGCATGCAACAGTGCTTATTTCTTTCCTTGAAATACTCAGCAATCGTTGCAGTCCAAAAGCACAGTATTTTCTCTGCTGAAGAAGGTTTGGTGGCCAGTATGAGAAGTATGTTGCCCCAATAAGTCAGGTACTCATATGTAATTTCCATTCCAGTCCAACATTCTGATTGAGATGTCCTCTGGGATTTGCAAGGCTTATTACAGCAGTAATACCTATCAAATGAGGCATGTGACACAGTAGGAAGATGAGGGCTGGAGAAGGAGAGCTAAAGTTCATGAGACACCTGATGAGATAATGCATACTAGAAACCTGGAGATGTATATGTTGGTGGCTGGTGGCAATGTGTGAGGATTATTGACCCAGTGGGATGCCTGTGAAAGCCTCAGCCTCTACTACCTGCTTGGTCACCAACATGTAAAACCAGACCTGCTTCTGTTACAGCCAGGAAATACAAATTGTAATGTCACTGTGCAAGGAGCAAACCCCATTCCCTTCCCCATGGCAGCGGAGGGTCTTGTGCTGCTCTCTGGGCTTGCAGGAGAAAGCAGGCTTCCAGGATACAGCCAGTTTTGCCAAGTCATGACTAGGAGGGCTTGGACAGACTTTGGAGAGGGGTATGGCCACATATTAGCTGGTAAGGCAACCCTATCTTTATCTTCAACACATACCTGGGGTCCTGTTGTCTCTGGTAGGCTCTGGGCCAGGCTGTGCCCAGCATTACATGAGAAATCCCCAGGGTGGGTTTCATGTCAGCTCAGAACAGAAAGCTCAAAATGTTGCTCCTTGACCATGGTGATCCCGGCCAGAGGCTGAGGCTTACAGTGTGTGTGTGTGTGCGTGTGTGAGAGAGACAGAGAGAGCTTTCCACATTTCCATTGACATTGGATGTTATTTAACTGTCTGGTGCTGTCTGACAACCAGCCTCAGATGCCTAGCTGCTTGCTCATCCCTCACCTCACCTCGTAAAAATTCTTCTCTTCAAGGAGCTCATTTCTAGTCCAGCTACTTTTCTATCAAAGGCATGTTGTTCTCCGCTCCATGTGGTTTGCAGTTTCATTCTATATTCCTCTTCAGAATCTTCCTTGATCTTAGAACTGTTTTCATCCTCTCTCTTTCTTTTTTCTTCAATTCATTTTTTGCTCACTAATTAATTTTTGCTGAGGTTTGTGTAGTGAACTGTACCCATTTCACTGAGTTTTTTCGTAGCAGTTAAATACAGTTTGTTCTGCCCCAACTCCAATTAAAGTTGAGACAGAACCTTTCATACTTCAGGAAGATGGCATCAATACTTACTTCTCCCCCAGCATCCCTGTGACCCCAGAGCGATGGCATCATCTCGAGCAGGCAAGCCCAGAACTGCTGGAAGGCATACCTACCTACCTCTGGGTATGCTACACTGAGGGCTGCTGCCTGCATTTCTGGATGCTTTGAGTTTTTGAGGGTAGTGAAAGCCTGCCAAGGTGTGTGAGTACTCTGAGACAAGATACTTAGTAAGGTAAAGACACTTCTCATAACCATATTAATTCCTCTGTCTCCACAGACAATCCAAAAGGTTCATCACGATGACTGCTGGCCTGGAGAAAGCCTGCCACCGGTGCATATCCAAAATTGCCAGCAATGGTAAGGCAGTTCTGAGGGTAAGAGCCTTCTGTATTTAAGCAGCCCTGTTGCTAAGCCGTGTACATAAAGGAATTAATACGGTACCAAGCCTCACCTGAATCTTCCAGTGAAGTTTCCTCTTCTTTTCTCCTTTCTGAGATATTTCCTTTCCTAGATAATTTTGGGTACTGGTGGAGTGAGCAATAGTAACTCTGTCCCAGCAGCAGCTGCCTGCTGCAGTATTTGAAGTATAGCAAACCAGCACAGAATTCCAAACGAATACAAACACCACCATGTACCTCAATATGGGCTGCAGCAGACAACCTAAGCAATATAATGTGTTTGCCTTCTGTTTCAAGTGTTACCTTACACATAGCCCAGAAGAAGTATCTGCAGGGAAAACCACCTGGAAAAGAGCAGCACAGCCAGCCTGGGGACAAATTCTCCCAGGAGCAATTCCTCAAAGCAAAACTGCTGCCAGCATCTGTGCTGACACAGTGACATGAGGCTGGGGACAGAGTACGGTCAGGAACAGCCAGCCCCCCTTTCACCCAGTGACATTTGGAAGAGGGTCATCTTCCCTCTGCTTGTCTGGTCCCTGGCACAGTGGCCACTGTAGGCAGAGGTAACCCCCATAAGGAGCCACACGTTGTGGGTTGTCAGCATGTTGTGGGTTGGAAGCATCAGTTTTCTGTAGAGGGGACTTTCACACGACAAGCTGGGCTCACTCAGGTTTTAAAACAGCTGGTTCTTCCCACCCAGGGTGGAGGATGCCACCACAACTCTCAGGCGGGGTGAACAGGCTGATTCTTGCTCTCTGAGGAGAAACAGAAAGTTGACCTGGGCTGGGGCTGTGCAAGCTGCAGAGTCACAAACCTGCTGGGGCGGGTTTTTGTAAGACCAGGGAAGAAGCGTTGTTAGCAGGAGGTTAAAATTCAAGGGTTTTAAAGCAGCTTACTCCCACTGACTGCATCTCCTTTTCATTCTGAGTTTCAAGTACCTTTTGCTTTCACTTCTAGGCAGTAGCAATTTCTAATTCCACTCAAATATGAGGAGAAGCAAACTCCTTGACCACTCATGATAATTGATACTTTGCCCACACTAAGTGCTGCATTTGCCAGAGTAGGTGTTACTTTGGAGTCTTCTATATTCCTGCTTTTTGCTTTGCTTGAAAGGCTCTCAAAGTTCATTCTAACTTTGATTAAGGCCCTTAACTCCTTGCTGCCTTACAACCCCGCAGAGAAAATCAGGCCAAGTGGACAGACAGCTCAAACCAGGCTCCCCTGCAGAAACCCGGCACAGGTAGTAAAGGAGAGGACATTTTCTGGCCCACTCGTTCATGCTGATCATTGCCCCAGGGGAAAGGAAGGCTAGGGAGTGATGAACAGTGAGGGGTATGGAGCACACGGTGCTCTTTTTACACCCTGACAAGCCTCTGGGAGCAGAACTGGGACCCAGCTGGTGTGGAATCCCTTGCATCCTGCAGAAGGGACAAGCATGGGGGATCTGGACCCATTAGTGAACATCACAGTTAAAAAAATCAAAAGTGGTATTTTCTCTGATTTTTGTTCCTGTGATTACAAGCAAAATGCCACTGTTCTCTGTATTAAATTACCACTGGGACTTTAATGATGACAGAGAAAATAATTAATCCTTCTGATGATTTTTTGAAAGATGAGTCCTGATCTCATCTATGTTCTTCTATGCCAGAGGAACCCTCTCAGGTACCCAGAAAGTTACCCATGAGTATGGTAGCTCATAAATACCATTTCAGAAAATTATCTTCAGCTTTTCATCACATTTAAGTTCGAAATCAGCTCATCTATAGCTATGAATCAGCTAGTGCATCCACAATTGATTTTCTGTTCATTAAAATACAAACCCTCATGAAGTGCAGTGACAATTTCACTTTTTCTCATCATCCTGTGTATATTTTTCAAAGAGTGTTTCACCACAACCCCATATTTGTACCTATGATCTCCTGATATTTAAATAACTCTGAAGAGTAAGCCCACCTGTAGAGCATCTTTGCATTCTTGGTGTAGCAATTTAAGTTTAGAACATTAGGGCAGTCTTTAATTAACTGGCAAAAAAAAAAAAAAAGAAGCCTAATCCACTACCCTTTGTCTACTGCAAAGCAAACTGGTGGCTCTATATGTGAAGCCAAAATCTTATTTTATTTTGTACATCTGGAAATTAATCAGAAGGGGTCAAATCCAGAACCTAAACCATAACTGTAGACCATAACCTAGGCATAACTGTAGATTAGCAGCTAGAGGCATAATATAAAACGCAGACAAGACACTCTGTAGTATTGCCCAACCCCCAAAGCACCACACCTACATCTAGAGGTATATCTACACCTATGTCTACATTTACATCTGCATTTACATCTATATCCTCCCCCTCCTGAAGGTTCCCATATTATGGACATCTTGTTATTCAGTAGCCTTTCTGATGGGAGCAGCATTGCTGCCGTCAGTGCTGGAACCTAGAACATAAATTTTGGGTGATGTTACGGTGGCACAGTTTATCTGGGTAACACAGTTTGCTGTTTCATAGTAAGACAGCCTTGTCTAAGCAAACATTGATGGGACACAGCAGAGGGCCCTGAGCTTGGTTTTGGTCTGCAAGTCAGGTTTTTCACACTTCCCCTGCCTCATATGGTGGCTTTGCACTGGGACTAGAGACCTTCACTGGAATGGCTGTTCCTTACACTGAATCCTCCAGCTGCTGAATATTTAGTCTGGTCAAGGGATTAAATTACCCCAGGGATGGGATTCCTGCCATTCATCCCAAGAGACTAATCCATTAATATGTCTCCTTACTATGGCATTTAGACTTATGAACAAAGCAATCTTTCTTTCTGCTCAAGTTCATCTCATATCTCTATACTTCGGATCACTTACAGGTCTGGTTTTGAGTGTTCAAACCCTACTGTTATTTTCTCTCTTTTGGCTATTGGTTGGCCAAGCTGAACAGACTGAATTCTTTTCCTTCACATTATTTTGTTCAAGTCTTTTCTGCATATCCCATCTGAGATAGTGACATTTTCCTGTCACTTGAAAGCAGAGAAAGATAGCCAGCATCCACAGCTACCAAAACCATGGGCAGACATATTCCTGTTTTGAAAAACATATGATCTTGTTGGAGCTGGTTCCCCAGAAAGATCCATCGAGACTTTCTTTGCCACCCCAGCACCCCAACATGCTGCATTCTTTCTTTCCTCCAAATCCCTATCAGTACTGCAGGTGATGCCTACAGACACTGTGAAGGACTAAAACGTGGGTGAAAAAACTTGCTACCCATCTGCACTGCAGCCTGTTATATTGTCCATGCTGCAGTACAGCACACTGTGACACTGCTTGCTAAGTTAGTGCGCTACCACCTGCATCTGCCTCAGGGCATCATCAGACCAGGGGCCCTGGCAACTGACCCAAATTTGCTAACATCCAGACTGCTGAGAGTCAGCCCCCTTCAGAGCAGTGTTTCCACAGCATGTCCGAAGGGCATTCTGTGAGTTTACACAGAGAGTTTTGCTCATGCAGATAAATCCCAGGGTAACCACAGAATCTGTTTGGAAGCTGGTAGCACATCACTAAAAAAAAAAAAGAAATGCTTTTTTTATCAGGAACCTGACAGGCTACAGAACAAATGGCATTTGGGAGTGATGGTAATGTAACCAACACTTCATTTATTGCTGTATTTATTATCAGAGAGCTTGTCACACGCTCTCCTGAGCAGCTTGCACAACAGCTGTATTAGCATACTACCTAAGAAGAGTAGGTAGATAGAGATTTATACTCATAATTTACTTCTGAAAACTGTGTGAAGAGTATTCTTACCCAAAAAGAAAGAAACTTTTCTCTATCTTCAAAGTAAATAGGGACAGCTTGAGCTGACCTGAAACTTCAAAGTGCTTGGAAAATTCATGGCAGCAAAATAAAGTCTGAGGAGCTCAGAGGTGAATTGGTGTCACAGGCAATACTGCCTCCAGAAGGCAACGGGCTGTGTGCCCTGAGGCCAGGCACATAGTAACTTGGGACAGAAAACAAGGGAGTAGCAGGGGGTGGGGAGGAGAGCTGCAGTGCAGGGGCATGGCTGTGGAAGATACAAAGGCTCAGGCATCAGATAGAGGAGAGACCATGAAGTACAGCCATAATGTTAACAGTGATTTCAAGTGCCTTTACTTCTGTGGGAAGACCCTGGCAGGAGTAGCTGAGCTAAATAGCCGATTTCTATAAGCTGACAATCCTCCTGGGCAGGACCCAAAATCTGCACCCACTGATCTGATCTTTGTGACCACTGGTTTCAAGGAATGCGCAAGATACACGTTCTTCTCTTCCTCTGTTGTGATCCCAGATATGAGCTCTTCCCCTCACCCATTTACCAGCACATTAGGACTTGCCCACTAATGGTTCCCACAGCAGGACTTCACTAGAGCCCCAGCTGCCTGGTGGTACAGAACAGTGGGTCCTTCTGCCTGAGGCCCTGACACCAGCTTCACAGAGCACATATCCTTCTGAGACATGCCTGGAAACACTTCCCTCACACCCTGTTGTGTTTTTAGAGACTACTGGCACTTTTTTGCCACTTTTCCCAGAAATGGGTCCAGGGCTCCTCTGACCAGCCTGCGAGGAGATGTCACTGACATAAAAATGCCATAAGACCTACATATGGGACTGCCTAGACAGCAGCATCTTCTCTGCTGAGCTGTGCTACCCTGCAGCAAGTACTATTTTCTTGAGCAATTTGTCTTTGAACCAGAACGGGGCAGCACAGCCCAGACAAATCCAGGCACAGAGTGTGTGTCCCAGCTGAGCAGCACTTCTGTGAAAACCCCACACATTTAGGGGAAAACAGTCTTTAGTGATGCTAGCAGCACTGAGAGCGGCTGCGGAGCCCTGCCAGTTGTGTAGGCAATTGTTGAAGAGTCTCACTTTGTTAAACATGGATCTGGAAGCCTTCCCAGACTATGCATCTGCCCCTCCAATTCGAGACCTAAAAGACTGTAGCTGAATGGGGAGATAATGAGTAAATACATTCCCAGCGACTGCTCTGGGAGGGGAATTAATGAACCATTATCTCTTTCTCTTGAGCTCTGGTCCCTACCCCGCATTTCTCCCCTCCAAAACCAAGCTATTGGGTAGATGCTAGACACAAACAAACACTGACACCTGTGTGCCAGATGCTCAGCCTCACACATACTTGGGCTCCCTGAGCCTTTTACATAGCTTACAGCAGCGTCCCTCCCCGGGGGTCAGTCAGACCACGTGCTGCACAATTAAGAAATTACACGATGCCTCCTCCTCCCAGGCAGCAAGGGCAGAAACAGGAGGCAGCTAAGAAACCGCAGACAGAGGAGTGACGTCGCTCCGAGAGCTGCGCTGCAGTGACAGGACTTCTGGCTATGCCAGGCAGTCGATGCAGCGCCTGCAGACCTGAAGTGCTCTCCCTTGGGTACCAGACAAATGAACTGCCCAGGCCGTGGGCACAATTTGCAGGTGTTGTTTGAAGCCCAACTCAGCTACAGTATCATTGCTTCTGAATATGAAAGAATAGTCTAGAAATGTAACAGCAAAAGGAGCTAGCACAAAATGTGACTTGTGGTGGAAAGGGAGGCTGAGTTGTTCTAATGAGAGGCTGTCAGTAGTTGAAAGAGCTTAGTCAAGTGTAGGACACTATTCAAGCAGAGGAAGAATTTCTGTACTGTGCAGTATTCAAGAGATGGGAGAGCCTGAGCAAAAATGTGTGTCTGTGTGTGTGAGAGGGAGACTGGCTGACAGGGAAATGAAGAGGGGGTTGCACAAAGGAACAGAAGTGCTTTCTTCAGCTCAAAGTACCTTCAGTGTCTACCAATTCGTAGAGATAACAAACATGCTACTTCTGAGAAAGATGTCTCTCAAGCACTGAAGTGTAAGATCCTCATTCTCTGCAGAGAAAACATGAGCAGTGTGTGGGGGATGGTTTGTTCCCATGAAAACTGTCTGCGAGTCAGAAAGCCTGGTGGATCTGCCCTGAATTTTGATACTGCTCTTATGTCCTCTGTCTCAGTTTCTCCTTCTGTAAAATGGAGGCTATGATGCTTCCTTTTTTCTCTAAGGCAGCCTGAGGGTGATGTTTTGGCAGTGCTGCAGTTTCCCAGAGTGGCACTGTCTGCAGGGTGCTGGCAGTGTCCCCACTCCTGCACAGTGAGGAAGATGCCATTCGCCTTGCAGAGGTTGCAGTTCTCTGGCATGGGGAACCGCGTGACACGGTTTGCCCGGGGAAGGGCTGGTCCCAAACCAACTCTGAATGCTTTCTTCAAGACTTTTTTCCGCAAGCCTCCGAGGAGACATCCTACTCCTTTTTCTTGTATGTGCTCTTCTCAACCCCTCTGCAATCTATGCCCAGCTGCCCTTCTGCGTCCTTAGGCATCCACTTGCAGACAGCCATTTGTAAAAGCGCTCTGCAGGGACACTTGCCACAGAATGTCCTCATTATGTTTTACTCTCATTTTGCAGGGCAGCATTTCACTTTGTATTGCCAAGTGTTCATGATTAGGCACAGAGGTGACAACTCTTGTAAGACAGGCTGTGTGCAAGTGCTCACACTGTTGCTGATGCTATTGTCTCTTGCTTTCTGCAAAGGTGAGCATCGATCATCTGCAGCATGAGGCTGTGCTGGGAAAATATCAGGGCTCAGACACACCAGCAGCTCTCTGGGGAATAACGAAACACCTCAGATCCATTCGTCTGCAGGAATAGTCTGTGTGCACCCCTACAAGCAACCTTCCACACAGCTTAAGCTGATCTATCCCAGTGCCAAGTCCCACTCCTTGCAGCACGGCTGCTGCCTTTGCATTCATGAGCCAAGCTGGGTCATGGAGTTAGAGCAGCCAGAAACTATTCACATCTGCAATAAAGACAGTTTATTTAGCTATTAGTGAAAACTGAGTGGAATGGTATCAAAGCTGGTATTTGCTTGTTAAACAGATAAAGCTCATCAGTTGCCATGGATTAGCTGATGCAAAGTTATTTGTTACAGCACAATCACCTGTGAGTGCCTCTGAAGCAGACGCAAGCTAAGGCAGCAGTGCCTGAGTCCTTGTCCTTGCAGTAAGACAGCTACAAGTAGCAGCTGCAAAAGCAGTTTGTGTCTCTCACTGCACTCTGTGACTGACTAACCACGTACTGATCCCATCACCTCAAATGCTGCAGCACAGAGACAATATTCCCACCCCATCAAGTGCACTGCATTTCCTGCTACACAACTGTATGGATAAAGAGCATCTATAAAGCACTGGAGGGAAATGTTGGCCTCTGAACTTGAACCAGGTCAAATAACACCGTCTCTCTTTTCTCATTCACAGCATTCTTTATATTTGGGCTCCTCGCTTTCCTTGCCTTACCACTGTCCATGACTTTTATAGGTAAGTTGGCTACTAAATTTGAATATAGAAACCACATAATTTGAAACTAGAAACTTCCTGGCACTGTATGGCAGGTTAATGTGGTGGTTTTAATCTAGGCCTTCCCTGGTTACCAGTTTGTAACCAAGGAAGGGGCAGTGTTCCCAGTATTCCATATGATTTTTATGTAAATCGAGGTATAAATAAGAAGGGAGGAGAGGTCTTCGCTCTCTTCTCTTCCGGCGAAGTTCGGGAACAGTGGGTCCCTGCATTGGTCTCGCTTATCTAAGGCTGAGGCCTGCAGCATCCACTGGCCTGCCACGTGGAGGCTTGGGGAGTGCTGGCCGTGTGTGTGTCAATCCTGTTTTTTTTCTAAGGGACGTGGTGAGATTTGTTTTACTAGTTATTTTACTAATTCTCGGGTTTGATTGCGTATATCTTCTCGGTGTCCTTTTTTTGTTCCCTTTTGTTCCTTTTCACCTTTCCCTATCCCTTCAGGGGGTGTTTGAATTCCCTTTTACTGTGTACATAACATCTTAACTGTAATATACATAAAATATATATATATATTTTATATAACTAGCTTGATTTTCAGGTTCTTCAATTTGCATAGTTTTTTTTCCTTTGCCCTGGGAGAAGTAGGAAGGGGGAAGAGAGGGGCTGCTACTGGGTGGTTGGGCATTTGGCAGGGAGCCAAGCCCGAACCATCACAGTTAACACATCTGGTGGAAGAAAGGAGTTGGAAAACTTAGAGTTTCCAACTGTTAAACCTGTGTGTTAATACTTTAGCTTCAGACAGAATCCCAGCCTACACTGCATGTCGGGGAGGAAGAAATACTTAAATTTTGAACCTGTTTATCTCAAATAGCCCTCCAGTGTGTCTTACCTCAAAGCAGTGTTCTGTCTGTGGGAGAAAGTTCAGAGTTTGACACATGAGAAGATTTCCTTAATCAGGATCCCTCTGTGTTAACCACATTGCAAAAATCTTAGAAGCGTAATGTTGAAAGGGAAAAAGAGGTGCTCTAGGCTGCTATTTCTTCACCTTTTTGAAAGTCAGACCTGGTTTTTGGCTGATCTGTCTCTGTATAACTCCTCAAAGGCTGGATTTGTGAGTAGCATTTCAAGATCAAATATTTAAGAAAGGAAAATCCTTTGAGCTGCAGAATTTTATACATTTTTAAACTACATAAGGTCCTTCTCTTCTTAAGCATCACTTTTTTCCTTACCATTAACGTAAATTTTTAGGGTTTTTTTATAGATTATTTTCTTACACTTCATGACTCCCTTTGGGCCTTTCACATCCCCCACAGTGGATTGCAAACCCCACTTTAGAAACATCAGTAGACACCAGTCCACCTACACTTTCAGACAGGCTCACATGCTCACAGCATCCCTGACAGATGTCCGACTTGCCCTTGCTCAAGGAAATTCCACAGCTTCCCAAGGAGCCTATTTCAACATTTTATTGCTCTCACAGAAAAAAATATTTTCCCCCATATCCAACCTAAATCTTCCCTATGGCAAATTAAGCACATTACAGCCTGCCCTACCCACTGCAGTCACAAAGACAGATTGGTTCCTGTCCTACTCAAAAGAATCTTCGAACTGTTTGAAGGCTGCTATTATAACCCTTCTCTGTCTTCTCTTTTTTTTCCCCCAGAGATCTCAAAAACCTGTTTCTTTCATCCTGACCTCACAGGTCACTGTTTCTACAGGTTTTGGGGTTTTTTGGTTGTTTGTTGTTTTGGTTTTTTTTTTTTCATTTTTGCCTCCTTTCTTTGGCCTCTGGCCAATGTAACTAGTTTTTTCTCATTAAAAAAAAAAAAAAAAAAAAAAAAAAAAAAAAAAAAAAAAAAAAAAAAAAAAAAAGTAAAGATGGAACACAGGACTCCAGCTGAGACTTGAGGAATGATCAGTGCAGAATAATTAGCTCCTCTGTTTAACATGCAGGATTTCTGTAAACACACCTCAAAATGAAAGATGCTCTCTCTGCACCAACTCATTGTCACCAATTTAGCTAGTGGTGCATTGTAAGCCCGAAAGGTTTTTGGCAGTGCTATTCTCTATCAGATATTTCTTGGTTTTTATTTGCACTGAAGTTTACTGTCCTGTAAGCAGTGTTCAGCTTTATCGACTGTCATCTTGTAGATCTTGAATGTCTTTTTCCAGTACATCCAGATCACTTTGAACTCTAAGTCCTGTCCCCAAGAGCCCTTACAATCCTTTCAGATGGGTGTCCTTGAGGAGTGGTTCACCTTCTGCCTCATTATTCATGAAAGACGGTGCAAGTAAACTCTACATGCAGATGCTGTGGGCAAGATGCATCCCACCTAGATTTGGACTGTATGCATCTGTAACCAAGCTGAGTGCCATGTGCTGTCCTTGCAGGCCACTAAGAGAAATGGTCACTCCTGACAGTGAGAGTCCGGCACCCTTTTAGATGTCTGCATAGAGACAAGGTGACTTTTAAGGCAGTCAGGACACCTAAACTGTTGGTATGTATAGTTGGCCAAACCCACAAAAAAAGTGTTCAGCTTAAGGTTGGTGCTGTTCCCTTTATCTGGGGCCTTCTAGGTATCAGTGATGACTACGATGGGATTCTGATTAGGATGTCCTAATTAGGAATTAGAGAGTTCTAATGAGGGATTAAGGAGCAATTAGGAAGTAGGGAAATGGACAGAACTGTTACATCCCAACACTTTGGCTTTTATGCTTATCCATGACTTAAGATTGCTATTTATCCCTTAAGAGGATTTTAGCTTTAGCTTTTCCCCAGGCTGAATATGTCTGAGCTGTGAAACAGGGGTGGGAAGGTATAATTCAAAATGTGGCACAGCTTCCATGCATATTGACATTCAGACTTCTGGAAATAAATCTAGGGCTGGAATCTGACCACTTATAAATGTAATTTCTCAGGGATATTTCATAATATCTTTAAGATCAGTGAGAAGTGGAAAGTGTATGGTAAGATATTAGCCTGGAGCTGTGGGTATCTCCTGCATCAGATAGAGAGCCCTTTTCTTTTTCACCACTTACTAAAATTAACAGATAATGTCACTGCAATAGTGTTGTCAGAGAATATTGGTTTCCTGCAGCTACATATCTGCAAAAGCATTTTTAGGAAAATGAAATGTCAAGGAAAATGCAGATATTTATTATCTAGGCAAAAATAATCTGATTTTCTGATAATATTCTTTTACCATGATCTCAGAGAATAACTTGCTGATATGCATCCACTCACTTTGGCTCTTGCTTTCTGGAGAAGAAAACTGAGATATAATATTAGCCTAAAACTCAGAAAGTAATGACTGGCAGCTCTGGTAATAATTGCACACTAACATTATACACTCTTAAAATTTTATAATACTGTAAATCACAGTATAATTCAAGATATATAAAAAGGAACTCAGTAAATTTTCCAGACTTGTGACATCATTTAGGCCACAGATTGTTTAGCAGCTTTCTAACTCTTACTGGCAGAGAGATGATTGCTTTTTTCACTAAACACTCCAAAAATACAGATTTTTTTTTTTTTTTTTCATTTCTGAGACAGTAAAGGGTTGCTCCCAATAACATATTCTTGTGTTTTCCAGAATACCTTTATACACAGATTCCCCAATGGTAGCTAAATCACATTTGAAAGCTGACAATGTTGTTTTCTCAATAAGCAGTCTAAATTTCCCCCACACAATTCTAACCTACTAATACTCCTTGCACTCATATCTACACCAAATAATTCCTCAACTCTCAAATGCTCCCAGTAGTTGTCTGAAGCCTGTTCTCATACTCTGTCCCTTTACGTGGGAGCCAGTCTTGTGCTTTACCAGTTGTTAACACAACCACTCCTTACATCTCAGTCCTTCAGCCACTCATCATTTCTGTGAGTTTCTTCTGATTTGCTGATATGCTTTCTGATAAAACAGTACCCAAAGCAATTCCTTCGAGATAAAACCCATGCAGCACCAGGATCCCAGTGTATTAATTTGGCTAATAATGATCCATTGTGGACCATGCCACAACACCACCCAGAACAGTGTCCTTAAAGAGCTCATATCCTGTTTTCTCACAAGTGCTCTCTCCACTTGCTAGACTTTGCATCCTGGATCCTACTGAAGTGTTGTTTGGTGGTGCTCCTGGGAAAGAAGATGCTTTCCTACTAGTTTTGTTTTTTCCAGATAAATCAAACACATGTGGGGTGAGAAACGATTGGCACATTCACTGATTTCACCCTAACAAATACCAGTGCCCATCTGTCAACTGTAGGTCCATATTTCCTATTCACACCTTGGGGTGTATTTTTAAAGTTACTACTGTATTACCTGCTTTGACCTACTCTTTTGCTGTCAGATCTGTCTGCAGTATTCTCCCAAAACCTACAGTGTACCACTGCCTGTCATTCAACTCCTTGCCAAGAGTGACTCCTGTCATGTTACAGATATGAAAGGACTCCATGATAGATTTGTCTGGGAAAGAGAATCATAGCACTATGAGGAAAAAAAAAAAAAAGGTTTTTTTTTCTTGATTTTTTTTCCCCTCCAGTCAGAATCTCAGTAACACACTAGAAATAGAAATTGCCCAGGTTCCTAAACTGAAATATACTCCCAGTTATCCGGCCAGCTGCTTTTGTGGCAGGCTATTACAGGTCCAAGGAATCTGAAAACCCTGACAGCGGTTTTCTGAAAATGATATATTTGTGACAATTTCCCTGACGCTTACCCCTGTAGAGCTGGGAGTCTAAGCAGGTCTTAAGATTACATAGTGGCAATATGGACAAAAAATTACAGCCTTTCAATAGGGACAAAAAGGGAAAGAGCCCAAATCCATCTAAGTCCAGCCATTTTCAATTATGAGGAAGCTGGTAATAAATACTTAGTATGGAAGATTCCACTGGACTCCACAGCCCTTACACACAGCAGACACAAAACACTGTGTCCTATGACTAATACAGATCTACAGCAAGCAACCACAATCCAGAACACTTGTATTATGCAATGCAAAAACCACAGGAGAGGTTCAGGACATCAGCAGTGTTCTGGACCAGCAATACCAGCGGATTTGGTGGGCAAATTGACAAGTTGAAGAGGATTACAGCTATAGAAAGGGGCAAAAAAACCCCCACAAACAAAGAAAACCAAAACACATTGGTGCTTCTTTCCTGATTTCTCCTATTCAGTGTGGTTCTGAAAATGGAGTCAAGACCTTCTGCATGAGGGATGTTTTGCACTAAGACCAGCACATTGCTTTCAGTATTCTGCACTTAGATAACCCCAAATATTCAAAGTCAAAATATCTCCTTGAAAATTATTTAAGCAGCAAGAAGAAAACAGAAAATCCTTTCTGCCCTCTGCAACTGCTCAGTCTATGCCCTGAAATATGGGAACAATAACAGTAAAATTATAGTGTAATGAACAGTTTAAAATTTCCAAAGATGCCACTGGGTAAGAGACTTGGGCAGGGGGATTCATCCCAGCTAACTTTGGATACCTACATCTGGCTGTCTAGATTCCTTGTATAGCCATGGAGAGACAGAGGCACTTTCAGGGCCCAGCTCACCCGCCCCACTTCAAATGCCTATCTCAGGATAAATGAGTTGAATTTTACAAGTATCTATTTCTCCCGATTGACTACAGAGTCTAGGAAACTAGTTCACATATGGATGCCTGCATTGCAGACATCTATATTTGGACAGATGAGTTTCCCTGCCACAGACCTGTATCACAAGCTTCAGTCTCTACTGCCAGCAACATCCTTCTACAGCAATACACTCCCTCCTCTAAAACTTATCCAGATATCTCTTTCTAGCAGCAGATCTGAGGGTTGCCAGGATCCCTACCTCCATAACAACCAATGCTTTTATCCTCCAGCAACCCAAACAGCCTGAAAACTTGAGCTTCTGCAGTTGCCTATCAGCTGCCTGGGAAGCTAAAATGTTTCCAGGTGCTCCCACAGGCACTGGCTCCCAAGCTCCGAGGCATCTCACTCAGGAACATGCCACACCCCTGTGAGCTAATGAGCAGAAAAATCCTGGGAGAAGTTTATTAAAATTCCTTATATTCATAGTTTTCATTTTCAGTGAATTTTCTGCTACTGATGAAAATTTCCTGTCCAGCTCAGTCAATGGTTCGTTTAACAAACAGCAGAGGCTAAATGACCTCTCTACGTGGCTCCAATCAGTAATGCCAGAACGACAATAATGTTGTTGTTACCTTTGCTCTCCTTCCTCCTTCTGCTGCCTTTTGCTTGTTCATGGGCCTCACTCCTGTAGTGGGAGATGCAAACCCCCTTTAATTCAGACCCCATTTCAACAGACGCTGGATACAAGTCTTGGGTGTAAGCACTACACTTCACTAACAGCATCTATAGTTTGCACTGTACAGCTTGCTGCACTATTTGATCACTTGAGATAACAAACATTCATTTTTGCTGTTCAGGAATGAAGTTTTTGGAAGATTGCCCAGTTCAGCCACTAATTCCATTATATCTGCTGGTGGGTGGCGTGATTGGCAGCTTAAAGGTAATGTGTCTTCTGTGTGCAAAAAATATTTTGTGTGACTAGACTTTGACTTGCTAGTTAAGACATAATGATGGCTCCAGACAGTCACATGCATACAGTACTGAAGAGAGGTATCAGGATTGAACTGTGCTTTTTCCAATACCCAAAGCACCCCTCAATCAAGCGAGATGGTAATGAGTTCAGCATTGTCCCACACATTGTGGTGTGACTTTCTCCTACATCACAGTATCTGTGCTACCATCCCTATGGAGGGAAATGACTACTTAACATGGATGTTTGTGGTAAATGGGGTCCTTTTTCCACAAGCAGTCCTCCAAGCATGCCAAACCTTTCGCCTTCATTTTCACACACATAGACTGGACAAAAAGTTAAGTTACTCTCCTAGCTTTGGGAATACTATAAAGCTACAGGTGTTTGTACATAGTCCTTCCCAAATTCAATTTACTCCCACTCTGACCTGGCCAGAAGTAATGACTATGCAGCAGAATTGCTTCCTTCCAGAGTAAATATATCCCTGCATCACAGCAGGGCTTATCAGTCTAGGGGCAGCACTTTCTAACCACAATTACCTGTCTTATAGTGGACTGTGCTCATTTATATCTTTGCTGAGCCAGAGCCTGGCTGCTTGACAAGTAGAGACACCCTCATATCCACGTTACACCTTAGTCACTACAAAGCTATAACTCTGCATTGACTCCAGGGTGAAGGATCACCCTGTTCTGAGAGTCACTTTGCAGACAGTGTTTACTGGCTGCTAGGAAGGCTGAAGAGCCTTGTCACAACAAGCTGCAGAGCTACTTTAAGGCTTCTCAACTGGTTTTTGCTGTCCCATTGATGTCTGTACAAAAGGAAGGCAGAGGGGCAGAGCTGATAGAAAAGCTTTGGAACTGGAGTGCTGGGGCATGAAGGGCTAAGAGCAGCAAGCTGCGCTGCTGGAGGAGCACCTGTCCTGGTAGGATCGGCTGTTCTGCAGAGCTAACCAGGGCAGCATCAACCTGGCACCCAGCCAACAATCCAAGGAGCCTGTCACCGGCATAGCAGACAGGGTAGACCTGATGAGTTGTGGCCTAATGTTTCAGTACACAAAGGCTGTCTCTTGTAAGGGAACCTACCAGTCTTTGACTTGACAGCACTGCATCTTGCAGCCAGCAGATATTGAAGACAAGAGCTACCTACATTCCCCTTTGATAACATTTCTAGTCTCTTTTCTATGTCAGGATTGAAAGAACGGGGAAAGAATATTCCTCTGCAGGTCTCTGCATTCCGTGCACTCTTTCACAGTCATAACCAAACCACAGTACCTCACTGGGATATGAATCATTCCCACAAGGACCTTTGGTCAGTTAATAAGCAAATGGAGAAAAAAAGAAAGTGCTTAATCTTGTAACAAGGAATGTTACAAGTGACTTCTACTTACAAATGCTTAGTCATCTGATTGCACCGGTGGATTTATCTGTATAATCAAAGGTTCATTTAATAATAGTTTAGAAAAGATTACAGCAGAACTGAAAGGAAATTTTGATGCTAATGAATTGAAGCCTCCATAAAAAACATTGACTGTTTCTTAGCTATTTCTTGTCTAAAGACAGTTTTTCTCACTCTAAGTAAGGTGGTAAATGGGCTAGTTAATATTCATGCTGATGTCAAATAATGGTTTGAACTTTGTTTCAGTTGACAACAGGACTTCTTATTTTGAATTCTGGCAATAAATTTGGTCAGACCTTGACTGGCCTAACTCCTGTGGCGTCTCATAGTGCTTGGTCTGTAGCCAAATTCCCGTCTCAACCCTGCCCTCTCTTATGTCCATTGGACTGCATTGACTTCACTGAGAAATACATTCACTTGACCTCTGGGGGTTAAAAGGTCAGAGAATTGGTATAGGATGAAGTCTGAATGAATGCTGTCCTGTGTTGGACATCATTCTACAGCATCCAGAGAGGCCTGTTGAATTCATGTCATGCTGCTCCATAAATGTATATTCAGCAGTTAGTAACAATGTGAGCAACTGACAGAAATTGTTTCAATCACAGCTTGGCAAGGCAATATCCATAAGAATTAAATGTGCTTTCCATGAACTGGTTAGATGCAGTTGAGATCCATAAATCTACATGCGACATTTCTATGACTTCCTCAAAATGAATACTCATCTGACATTTAATCCCATTCCCATTGCTGAGCTTGGTGAAACTTGAGTACAGGCACCTATCTATGTGCTGAGCTCACCCCAAAGCTAATGAGCTCCATGGGGCTTCAGGTTGACCTACAGGTCCCCCCATGCAGAAACTGCAGACCTACCGGCCAAGTAGATTTATCCCTCCTCCTGTGTGTCATGAGCCTGCATAAAATAAATGTTCACCTGAGAAGAAGATGCTCTGCTGGTTTGAACAAGTCTATCAGTTTGAGGGCTCAGCTGGAAGACAGACAACCAGGTGGAAACACCTTTTATTTTTTTGCCTGTGTTGGTGCTGGGATTTTAATCTGTGTTTCTCACATAGTAGCAACATCTGGGCTAGAAAAACGGTTTTGTGACAAATATTTAATCATTTATAAATAATCAAACAGTTTTAAAGGGTAAGAGAAAACTCTACCCAGGATGTCCTGGATTCTCTTGCTAAGCCTTGCCTCTTGAAAATGGGGCATGTGGACTAAAATCTGAACCAGACAGAACATATACCTAAACAGGTTTCCCTTGGCCAGTGTTCTTGGAGAAGGGAGAGTGTAAAATGAGGGGTGCTCTTCTCTTTCATTTCAATCAGAAAAATGAGCACAGATCATAATTCTGTAAAAGACAGCATGGCTGAGAACCCCTGTTTGGACAGTACATCCCTCCCCATAGCCACATCTTTTACCTTTACCTCTAAATTTCATTCCTGGTTGGCCAAGGCAGCTTCCTGCTCAGCTAGTTTCTGAGAGTCCTTTTCCCAAAGACACAGCTCCCTGCAAGGAGACTTGCACAGGAACCTGAGTACCTAGAAAGGGGATTTGCAATTAAAACAGCTAGTGCCTTGAGGCCAAGCATTTCAGGTATAGAAAGATAACACAAGTTTCACAGTTGGCCCAAATCCTTGTTGGGCTCTATATATACCTCTCCTATAAATCTACCAAAATTAGGAAGGTCATTGAGGGGACAGAAATTTGAAAGCTTCTCTACACTGCAATCTACTTATGTTCTTTGTATTGCCAAGACTAAACTAGAAATTTAAGCATTGCTGATGAGTCCTACTGCATGTCTCTGTATACCAGACCTTCCTAACCACACAGCATTGTGGTATTCCACCTATTTCTCTGTTAGTTCTGACTGAAGGCAGAAATTGAGCAATCTGAGAAAATAACACTTAATTGAAGAAAACTTGACAGCAGTACACTGCTAGTATCTGAAGCAATTCATTTGGGGTTTAGGTCGCAATCTAGATGCTTCATAATTCACCTATATAACCACGGAAAACAGAGTTGGGAGAGATAAATCCACCCACTACAAGGCAGGAACTACACTACTTAAGTTATTTAGCAGTGACTCTAATCTGTTCTCAAAAGTCTCCAGAGTGGGAGCTGCTGCCATCTCCCTACACAATCTGTTCTCAAGCCTTTCCATCCTTACCGCTGGCAATTTTTTTCCAATGTCTTGCCTAAATCTCACTGGTGAATAAACTTTAGGGGAAAAAAAATGCATTATTGTCCAGTGGGATCTGCCTCATTTGTGGCTCCTTAGCTTTCTCTTACATGATTTTCCCACACTGAATTTTATTTGGCCCAAAGACTGGCAGTGGCCAGAAGGCATTCAGACTTTCTGCAGCCAATTTACCTATTCCCTTTTCTCCTCCAATACCTCCAGGTGACTCTCCTGCTGTATGACTCAACCAGGATGAGGCAGCTGCTTTCCAAGTCTGTTGTGATTGATGATGATGATGACGATGAATATCCCTGGAGGCAGAATGCTCACAAGTACTACATCCATCTAACCCTCAGCCTTTTCCTCTTTCTCTGGTTCATTCTTGGGAACTACTGGGTTTTTTCTGTGTACCTGCCAAATTTCATTCCGCCTTTTCATCAGCCTCAGGATTACTGTGACAAAACCCTGTACATTTTTGCTGTCGGTGTTCTCATTATCAGCCATACTGTTCTGTTTCTCCTTATCTTTTGTAGCTGCTGCATATACTGTTTTTCCAGGCAAAGATTCTCTTCTGAGGAAGATTAAATGTCACAAAAATAAAGCCCCAGATGTTTGGGCAAGAGTGTACAACAAAGAACAGGCAATAATACACCTGTAGGTACATCTTTGTTGTACTATATGTATGTATGATAGCAGTCAACTGCAAGGGGAAAATGTAAAATACAATGCCGTCTGGAAATACCTATGCTGGAATACAGTATAGTCTATGTAAAATTGCTGCTACAGATGCCAGGGTGCACTCCTGCTAACTTTTACATCCCTTTTTTAACTCTTGGATATTCTATCTGGAGCGAGCTCCTGCAGATGGCAAGCTCCTCTAAAACCAGGTCTCCTTATGTTGTATATAGCACAGTACAGCATAGTACATTTTTGCCTATAAAAGTAGCCATCTTGTCTTCTTCACTGGGGTCTGAACATCTCCATAACCTTGCTGAGGTTTGCTCTGTCCCCACATTACAGATGAGGGAGTGAGACAAGGAGACAAAGAGCTGTATTCAGGCCACTTTGCATGGTTCATGGACTTTGACAGTAAGTTAGCTGCTTGCTGGAGAGCAATTCAGGACACAGTCAGACCAGCCAGTAAGTAGCTATGATATTAACACGAACATGTATAAAAGGCAACCTGAATATGGCCCTCAGGTCTCTTCTAATCTTAGACTAAAAAGCATCTATATCTAACTTTGTGGCTAAAACAGGCACTATGAATATATCCATATACATCCAATACATCCAAACTGAGCCAAGGCTGCTTTGCAAGTCTTTGGCAGAACATGGAACTGAGCTACTGAATGTCATATTGGTGCTTCAACCAGGGCTCGGCATATCCCAATCTGGGAAGACTCTTCCTCGTACTTTTTCTATAGCAGTAATTTGTCAGTACCACACTAACACAGAGATGTCTATTGCACCATTGTGACCAATTCCATAGAAAAATACATGATGTTAACCTTGGTATTTTAAACTTAAAAAACAACAGTAAAACATTGGCAGGGATGTTAGAATTTCAGGCGTTCACTACAGTAGGTCTCTGGTTGTGGCGGGAGCATACATTTGGTTTGTTCACCTGGGCACTATACATATGGAAATCTATACTTCAGCAGACAGATGTAACACAAGCAGCTTTTGAGTCAACAGTAGTGTCCAGCTTTAAAAGCACCAGCACGCAGAGACACAACTACTTTGTGACATGCAATGGAACAAGCCCAGAACTGGTTCTGGTAGACTGATTTTCATGTGTTGAAGAATGCAGTGTAAAAGTTCTCTTTCTGCTTTTGCTTTTATGCATTTCTGTTAATATGGTCAAAAGGGAATGGCTCTCCTCTAGATGAGCACGAGGGTGGCCCCCAGCACAGGAAGTGGATGTGTGTTTTGTGTATTTTTTCTGTTAAAACCCACACAGCTGAAGCCTACGTTTTAGAGAAACCTAAAAGGGTTACACAATGCCTGTGGAAGAGTGAGATCTATAAAAGAACTCAACAATATGCCACAGATGAATAGGGTCTGCTCAACCATCCTTCCTGGGATTGAGGCTGAACACAGTGTAACATCTGTGGGAACCACCTGTCTTCAACCATGAACATTTATCTCATGGGCTATTGTATAGGTAACTAAGGATGCATTTGGTCCCTAAGGATTTTAATTCAGGCCCTGGCTTTAAGAAGTGTTTATTTCCAGAAAACTAATCTTAGAAAGAAGGTAGGATAAAGGATGAAATAATTTGACATGAGGGCAGCATCAGTGTAGCATTCCCCTGCTCTGCTTCCCCCTTAGGAGAAGTCACAGTCAGGCTGTCCCGTTCAGAAACTGATGGAACAGGAATTACTAACCCTGCTGGCTGACTTAGGCCATTCACGGCTGTATGTAGGGAGATATGACCAATGGAAAACTTCACTTTTATTCAAGAGCCTCAGACTGGATCTAGGAGAAATCACTGGCTCTGTTTCCCAAAGAGCTGCTCTACCACACGCTCTCCACTGCCTCTCTAGTGGTACTTTACTTTTCTAAAACATAACTGCAAGCAATGGTGAAATGCTATAACTCTTTCCCACTCCCCAAACTTCACTGGCTCAGCATTCAGTTCTGAACTGATCTGAGGGATTTTACCTTCAGTAGAGAGCATCTTTCACTCATTAAGATACCAAAGTGATTAAAAGATTGCCTATCAGCAGGCAAAACTCCATCCATCACTCAAATACAGCAAAGCAGCTGTTCGTCATTACACATAAACTTTATCCAGAAGCTTGGAACAGGCATAAAACCAGAAAATTATACTCAATTGATAATGCAAAAGAAATTTAAAAAGAAAGTAAGTCCATTCACAGGACTCCAGTACATACTTCCTCGTTCCTGCAAAATGCTGCTAGAATTATTCTTAATCACAGGGAATTAGGAGCTAATACTCCTGATTTAAATCTGAATTGATTCCCATGTCACTGTGCATCCAGTGACCCCACAGAAAATGCTGATGTGCTCCTAGCTGAGCAAATAGGAGATCATTTTAGTTCAGCTCGGAGAAGAGACATAAGCTAAGCCACATTGCCTTGTGTTTGCTGTGTCCCTGTGTGAGCATAGTTACAGCAGCTCAGCACATGTGCAATGATTTACCAAACTTCAGCCACACAACATGTGCCACAAACATATGCTCAGTCCCTGGAGAAGTAGGCATGGCTCCTCAGCTGTGGCCCAAAGGTCAAGTAGCTGAAAATACAGTCTACACCTTAAAATGTTTAGTATTTTGCCACTAGACTAAAATTATAAATTGAAAACATAAATTCTTTTTTTTCCCCCACAGTAATATAAATTCCTTATGAAAATTGAACAAAATACACCCTTAAGCTAATAATTATAAACTCAGGATGTTAACTAGGATGCAGGAAACCAGTTGTAACTGTTTCAGTTAAATCATCTCCCCTTCTTGAGAAAAAAAAGGTTTATTTCCAGCATTTAAAGGAAAAAATATACATTATTCCAATGGATTAGATAGCCTGCTCACCACTAGTCATGAGTACTACAGAAATCTAATAATATAAAGATACAAAGACAATTCTGTATGCACACACTGACTCTATACATATCATAAATGCAATCATAGCAGTCATTAAATAAATTGCACTTATTACAGTTCATTTCCCACAGTACATTTGTTCTCCCACTACTCCACCTTCTTTAGCCATGAGCATAATATTCCAAAGCTCTGAGAGAGCAGCTTCCCACAGCTATTTTAGAAGCTGCAGACAGACAGGCAATGTTTTGTGTTCCTTCATCCCAAATGTCGAACGCAGACGGCTTCTACCTGCTGACCCAAAGAAGAGAGAAAAGCATCAGACATATCAAGACACCATCTCTACAGGAACGGAAATAGGAATGTTGTGCTGTCAGAGATGATGATATGTCTCATTCGGTACTTGCTCTGAGCTTCATGAGGTCCCAAGACATCAAACTTTAAAAGGTGACTGTGCAGGAAAAAAGTAAAGAAGCACAAGCTATTCTGGGTTGTGCCAAGAGCTGTTTTGAATGTCTCAGATCCTGAAATGCAAAGAGTTGGTGTAAAAGAGCCTAAATGCTTTGACTTCAGAGGCAAAGGGCTATGAAGATTAAAATGGTGATAACCAGTACATATATTGTACAACATTCTAAACCAGATCACTTTCTGTGAGTTATCTTGAATCTTATCTCTGAGTATTCATCTTCTCCATATTTTAGATGATAGGGACCTTGCATCACAATAAGGAGCCGTGTATGTTCTATATATAATATAGAAAGGATTGTTATATCAGGACTGCAATTTTAAACTGTTGCTTCTTGACATAAGTTTCTTCAGGTTCCTGTTTACTATTGGAGCAGATGAAAGTTCCACAGGTGTTAGCCACGGGAGGAAACAGAAGACATTTTCAGACAGTACAATATTGAGGAAAAATAAAAAAGGCTGACAAGTGCCATCTAATATCGCATTGTACAAGAAAATAAAGTAGAAGGAAACTGCTAAAAAGAACAATGTCATATTGCAAGGTTCCTGAACAAGTTGTGTGAAACTCTGAGAAATCATGTATATGTGTTTGTAATACTGAATTTCTACCAAATGTCTTATTTGAATAAAAATAAGTGTAAGTGCATGAGCCTATGTGACTGCAGTTTAAAAATTAAGGTACTTTACGTTTACCACTCATGCTAATTATAATCAACCCTGCTGCAATTTCACTGAGATGAATAGTTATAGCAGAGACTGATTTCACCCACAGATTTGAATCTAAGCCATACTGACTCTTCTGTATGATTATTAGCACTCAGGCAAAGGAAGAACCTGTGATACCTTTCCCCATGCTGCAGTACAGCAGCTCAAATGTGAGAGGTCCTCTGAGATGCAAACTATGGGCCTGTAGGTCAATATACACGAAAGTTTTCTTTTAACAAGGTCCTCTTGATGTCCAGATGAGTTAGGTAACTGCATACTGAAGAGAGTACAACAAAGATGAAGAGGGACTTTTTACAAGAGCATGTAGTGACAGGACAAGGGGAAATGGACTTAAACTGAAAGAGAGTAGGTTTAGATTAGATATTAGGAAGAAATTCTTTACTGTGAGGGTGGTGAGGCACTGGAACAGGTTGCCCAGAGAAGTTGTGGACACCCCATTCCCTGGAAGTGTTTAAGGACAGGTTAGATGGAGCTCTGAGCAACCTGGTCTAGTGAAAGGTGACCCTCTCCACAACAGGGTTGAAACTATATGATCTTTAAGGTCCCTTCCAACCCGGGGCATTCTATGATATCCTATAGATTTAATTCTCAGTCCTTTGAAAAAAAAAAAAGAAAAACAACCAAACAACCTTTCAGTACCAATATAAAATGAATATAAAGGGTGCAAACAGTGGAGAAAAAATCCACTATGCACACTTCTTCACAAGTTGCTGTAGACAACACCTTTTTATTATCATTGCTTACTTTTGCTTTTTGTATCACTATTGTCCTTCTGCATGAATTTCACAATGCTAGTTCATAAATACCATTTATTTTCAGAATATATCAGAAAGAGTTTCGTCAGTATTTTTACTGGACTTAAATTGGCCTGTAAAACAGGTGAAATAAGACTTCTACTAAACAAGCGTGGTGCTTTTTCTACATGTGAGGGTTTGGCTCCACAGCTTTGCATGGGTAAGTTTCACATATCATTGTGGGTTCTGTTATAACAGTTTGTGGACTGATTTGAGACACAAAACTTCAGTCTATTGCTTTTGCATTTGAACACAACATAAAACCACCACATCAGCCCAGGTGTGACTGTTGCCCTGCTTGCCAATACCTCTTGGAGGATACATACTATTAGATAACATCTGCAAACTGGTAACAGTTGCTCTAGAATAATCAGTGCTAATAAGCATCAAGACTTGCAGAAAAATAAGAAATAAAAGAATGGAGCGTAGCAGAACTCCCCTGAGTCAATAAGCCCATGAACATTCCTATCCAACAGGTGGTAGTAAGGGCAGTAAGTTCTACTAGAAGAGCAGTTAGAAAAAAAAAGGTAGCTGAAGAAAATCACTCTCACAGCCTAGCAACAAACACATATGCATTCAAGTATGTTGCCTACTGTAAGGACAAAGAATTTTTCAGTCATGGGAATAATAAAATTATCCTGTACTGATGAAAAAAATTTCTGGGATGCATATCAACTTCAAAGCTCATATTATTTTTAGAAAAAATTACATACTTAAGCAGGCATAAACTATTTGATACATAGGAGATTAATTAGGTTAGCAACAGGTTTAGCTGCTTTTCCCAGCCAACTCTTTTGGACTTTCAGAGGACACTCAGCAGCCCCTCTCCTTGGCAGGACATACCTGACCCCAGGAAACCCTGTAGGCTCCCAAAGACCAGGGCATAAAGCAAACCTATACTTCTGATAAGGCACAGTACAAGACTCCTTCTACTGGCCCCTGAGCAAAAAGGAGTGATTGAGCTGATGATATACTGCCACATTTGTTTCTCGGTAACAAAAGGCTATTGGTCTGGGGAAAGCCCAACTCTTCACTGGAAACAACACTTGATGACAGCAGCTGGCAACCTTGGTGATGACTAGGGTAGTAACAAAGAAAGCACCCTATTGCACACAAAAACATCACACAGGCCAGAACTTCAACTCCACCCTGCACTCAGGAAGAGCAGCTTTTGCTTCTCCCACCCTGCTACCACCATAAAAACTTCAGACATGTCCCTGAGACCTCAGGGCCTGAATGTTCCTCTTCAACCACTCACCAAACTCTGCTTCATCCAAGTAACAGCATAAGTGTTGAGTGCCTCTCTGCAAGTTGCCAACTGCTCTTAATTGCCATTACACTGACTGGGGCAATGCTGGTTTCTAAAGCAGGAGTTTTCAAGTGTTCTGCCTCCAAAGCTGAGGCCAGCATGGCAAACGCAGGATTGGGAGTGGATCACAGAGCAACAGTGGCTAGCACACAGTTGTCACTTCCTTTGGAAACCTGGCCCCAATTATAGATGCTGAGCTTTTCTGCAAATCTGGGCCTTAAACCCTGTGCCTGTTCCCACTGCAATCAGTGGCAACTGAATCAGTTCTGATTGATTTAATGGGGGCAGGCACAGAGACTTAATTAGAAAATTAGTAGCTGCAAGGAAAGGAGAGAATGCACAACAGCCTGCCAGATCTCTGGTATGAAGCAAGCAAAGGAGCCAGTTGTTCTTCAGACTGAGATTTTAGCCTCTCAACAAACCCCCCCCCCCCAAAAAAAAAAAAAAAAAAAAAGGATAATAAAAGAGATTGGCTAAATGGCCTTGAAGCTGCTTTAAACTTCTTGTGTAATATATAATTGTTTTTCAGCTCTTGAGTGCTGTGTCTACCTTTCAGATCTGTCCTCTGGGAAGAAAATATGAAACATTTTGAAACACACAGCCCTTGAAAGCAATCAGCATTTTCAACTTTTTTGTGTTGGAGGTATTTAACACTTTGCTTAAAACTCCTTGCTCTTTGACAGGTACAAAGATGGATCAAGTCTAAAGTGTTTTTCATACTAGTCCAGCTGGATGCCAGAGAGCTATTTTTCACCAGCTCTTGTTTTAAGAAAATACTGAGATTCTCAATTCATTACTGCATGCAAAGTCCTAACATCCAGAAGCTGACAGCCACAATATTCCAGAATTTTTGCTTTGAGGATTACCTGCATTCATGGAGGACCTGCATAACAGGCTTGGGTGCTGTTTCTGCACTGGTAAATACATCTACTAGAATGCAGGATCACAAGTGCCAAGCTGTGCAGTGTGAATCCTGGTGCAGCCTCATCCATGTATCTTGAGAACAAATTTTCCCTTGAGAAAACTATTATCCTGATGATATCTGAGCTTGTTTTAGACAGAAGTATTTGCTTAATACCTATTGGGAGCCTCGGCATCAACAATAATTTCCCTCGTATGGTCCCTGATAATACTTATCAGGACCTGATAAGTATTTGATAGTGCAGATATACCTGAAATGTTGCAGTCCTTTAGGGGAAGAGTTAACCTGGTATGCTTTATCAATGCTAAGCACCACATTGTGTTTATTATCCAGGGTATTATCCAGCCATTTTGTTCACTCAAATGAGGGAAATGTCAGGAGCTCCAGAGACTCGTGGCT